ATTATAAATGATTGTATACATGTATATCCGTTGCTATTAATAATCACGATCATAAAGAAATAACAAGTAATATTCTAATCTCTAGCATGCCAATAAAAGTTCATAATGAACAATGTCTTTCGTCCATTCATTCATAAGTGATATACAATTCTGGTAAAAACCAATTAACCATTGAAAAGATTATAAGAATATTTTGTCATCATATGCCTACTAGTTCATCTTCACCTGCTGCATTTCTTGCTTGGACGCCCTTTGATGCTTTGCATCAATGCTTTTCTTGTATGTTATTGTTGTACATCTATCCGAAAGATGAGTTTATGACCTTAACATTCCGAAAATCTATTTTTAGAGGGACGTACTCCTATCGGTAATTCCCGGTCTCTCCCGGTCTATTTTGACCGGGATTTACTAGTGACCGACGAATAGTATCACACGTTTATTGTCCGGTCTCTCCCGGTTTTGGAGTAGATGTTTGATATCGTTACAGAACAAAATAAGTTTTTTTTTTCCAAAATGAATGTTTGTCACTTAGTTTGGTTACACACAGATCAACTCTCAAATTTATTTATTATTATTATTATACATAAACATACAATTCGAAAAAAACCACCAACAACAATAGCATGTTTCATTTTATCTTTATGAGATAAAAACAATAAATATGTACAATAATTGAGAAAATAGGTACATTTTTATGGTAACTATTAATATGACACTAACAAATTTGAAACATTTTATTTAATTTGTTATTTGTGTTTAGTAAAGATGCCGATTTAAAGTTACAAATTAGATTTAAGGAAAAATACAAATGTTCATGTACATGGTTTAAGAATAAACAATATTACATATTGAAAGATTAATTTACTGACTTTTTCCAGTTAAGTTTTGATTTATAATCGTCGGTCAATATGACAATTGAATTCTTAACATTTATTTTACAATTTTAATAAAAAAAAGAGTAGTAAACGTAAAAACTCAGTATTGAAATAGCACATACAACACAAAAAAGAAAAGAAAACAATATTCATAAAATTTGCAAATTTTTTTATTAAAATAGATATTACATGTACAATTATTGTATAATAAACAATTATGGTCAACATGATCAACATTGTAATATAACCAGTGTCATATTTTTACTAAGTGTGAACAGATACCTTAAGAGGGGGTCTTCGCTAATAGCGATAACATAATAAGGGACAAATACACAAGTGTGGTGTTGATCATGCGTTACACATATGGATTATAAATGATTGTATACATGTATATCCGTTGCTATTAATAATCACGATCATAAAGAAATAACAAGTAATATTCTAATCTCTAGCATGCCAATCAAAGTTCATAATGAACAATGTCGTTCGTCCATTCATTCATAAGTGATATACAATTCTGGTAAAAACCAATTAACCATTGAAAAGATTATAAGAATATCTTGTCATCATATGTCTTCTAGTTCATCTTCACCTGCTGCAGTTCTTGCTTGGACGCCCTTTGATGCTTTGCATAAATGCTTTACTTGTAATAGTTTGTTTAAATCTCTATCAGGTCCTTTACATAAAAGTCGTTAGTTTTATAAATTGGTTTGGGTAATAGCTGATAAATCTTAAAAGCAAACAATGCAATTAGTTAAATACCAATTCGACAGATACCAGAAAATCATTGATGCATTTTTCTTCAATGTATTTTAGTGGAAACAGACCTTATCCACAGAAAACAGATAACACAAGAAGTGTATAGAAATTGGATGAGAGGAGCTCTAGCGTTAAAATATTTAAAAATAGGTTTAGAGGGTTTTTCCGACAAGGCTGTTCACAAACAGCATAATGATCTAATGAAAACTCTTGGAAATACATGCAACACTTGTACAGAAAGAAGTCTTCTCCCACATAAACAAGATCAATGCCCACGGCAAGGAAAACATCAATGTTTATGTACTAAGATTCAGAAAAACAAGTCAAGACAAACGTGTCCAAATGGGGGATTTTGTGGCAACGTTTATAATCGAATAGTTTGTAAACATCGCTTTCAAGATCCATCATTCACAAACACAGATGTCCAGAAATGGAGCAGTGATCCGTGGAGTGTTGCTACATGCTTTATAAATACTTCTGGCTACAAAGGCAAACAATCAGCTAAAGATGTCGACTGCTCTGGTTTACTTAGTATGTGTATAAACAACATTGATATAGAAAAGATGCTTGGAGAATGTATCATCGATGGGAAAATAGATGCGTTTGCACAGGTAAACATCTTCATAACAGTAATCACATATCGATGTATGTATCTCAATTGAAAATTGTATATATATGATATTTAGACTTTTTTGTGCAAGTCAATAACAGCCTTTTTCCAATTGACCTTAAAGTTTATTAATTCATAAGTAAATTGTTTTGGCGACAAATAAGAATGAGACTTTAAAAATAAATACTGAAGTGTTACTTTTATAGGCAAGGGAGGCGCGGAATGATATTCTTCACAGTCCAAACTATGAACTATCTGAAAATCAACTAAACAAGTTTATCAAAATGTTCAAAGAAGTACTAGAAATCAAGGACAAACATGGCAATACACCTCTGAAAGGGGAGCCAGGCGTTGCAAGCGCCTTACATTTACTAGATATGGTAACTATCCTATAAGAGTAATTATAAAGACAAAATTAGCCAAATAGGAATACATTTTATTGGTTCTTTATGTAATAAATCGTATTTCTTTCTAAATGTATCAATTAACAATATATTGATCAATTTTGTCATATTTGTTACACAATATACTTTAGCAATTTCTAACGTCTTAAGTATTTGTTATTTTAGTTATATATATTTTCCTATAGATGTATGATTTGTTATTATACGTTCAGATTCTTTTGCATTAGTGTTGAAACACTTTTATCGTCTATGATAGTAAGTGCATTATTGTCCATAATAGTAAGAACACGATTGACTATAATAGTAAGTACGTGAGCTCATTACTTTAAGGCTTTTCCCACATATACTCAGCCAATTATTAGAGTATTAACATGATTGCAACAGTTCAGGATGAGAAAAATGATCAACAAAGCTTATTATATGTAAACAATATTGCAGTGTGTTGTTAAAAGATTTAACCTGGTAAATCTTAAGTTCATTTAGACCTACCCATATATTACGTCTTTGCTTTCAAGTGATACAAAAGGTCCTTCCATTCTTACAAAAATGGGACAATTATGCATTCTGCCATTTTTGTTGTGACATGAAAAAGACAATTTTTTCAAATGAGTTTACGGACTTGAGTCCTATCATAAATTTCTTACAGGTGCAACAAAATCAGATTGAGATTAACCTTGAACATGAGATGATAGAACTGAGAGAGCATGGGATGTCTAGATTAGAAGAGAAATACCAAACAGCAAAACAACAGGCAAGTTTTAACGCTAATGCATTTGAGTATTGTTATAACATGTTTTCAAGACCGAGTCAGGCAATGATAAAGTAAGGAAATATTGATTTCCAAGTCTCATACAATGGATAATAAGTAAGTAAGTAAGTTTAGTAAGTAGGTAGGTAGGTAGGTACGTAAGAAGGTAAGTAAAGGCTTTGTTTATCGAGGCTTTACATTTGGTTTCCCAATCTTCAATGCGGGCCTTTTAGTTAAAAAGGTATTTGAAAGAAAATACTGCGATTCGAAAATTGCTTATCTATTTATTGTGTACGAATCATTACTAAAAAAGAGTTGTTAAAACAGATGCCCTTTTTGGCTTGCAGCCATTTCATTTGGAAAACTTGTTCCGGTTAGGTGGTTTCCTGCTCACATCTGTTGGTGCATGATTGAACGTGAAACCAGCTGCAATCGTGCCAATCGCAAATTTTCGGCCTTTCCGTTACTCTTCGGATTAATGATAATAGTCGATGAAGTTCCGATTGCAACCGTGACAATTCGGGCGATTCCGTCATACTGCGGAATCAGACGAAGTAATATTACGGAAATCTAAGCTATTTTAGTTACTTCGGTAATCCCAGTTTGTTTATATAAATAGGATTTCTATTTTTACTCGATTTATCGGTTTAAACCGTAATAAATTATAAACGAAATTGTTCCATTTCAATTATGTTTCAAAACGCAAAAGTTAGTGTCTTTTATAATTGTTTTTTTTTTGTCTGTATTAGTTTTATACAATAGAGAATGGTTCCGTCTTCAAAGGGTGGTCCTGCTTACCAAATCACGCATGATCGAGTTATATTTAGATCTACTGAACGCAATTCAACTTCTTGGTGAGGTAATCTAAAAATAGCCCATGCATATCATTAACCTTGCCACGTGCTGATCTACAGATATTTGTGATTGATACATGCTTATTAATTGGTACCACGTAACAAAGTATTTTAGTGCATTTACTTGTCTATAAAGCAAAGGAATTATTTCGCTGCGAAAAAGGGGAAATGAAATGTGCATACTTGTTTCCCTTCAGTATCACGTTAGTATTTTTACGATTGATCATTTTCTTTATTAGTTTTATACAATAGAGAATAGATTTCAAATCGTTTTGATAAAAATTATTCGGTTTTCCAAAAAAAAAACAAAAAAAAAAAACAACAACTAAATAAACCCTTTATGTTATACAAATACCGTAATTCAAAAAAAAATGTGATAATAAATTGAAACCAAAAAGAAACAATTTTAAAGGGTTGGGATGAAGGCACGACTGTGCAAGCCTTTCCTTTTAAAAGGAAACTTTATTTACTCTCATTGTAATTGTATCTCTGTTAGCCACCATGCACGCTTGAATTTAAAGCCTCGTTTAGATTTCTTTAACATTACATTCGTAAGTAGTGGAAAAGATTACAACTTTAAATGACATACCTTCTGACTTCTAGCATAGGTTATCAAAGGTAGTATTAATACGGTGGAATCCGAACATTTCTAGTGATTCCGTTAGTGTTATATTGGGTCTAAGAAAATAAGGCATTTGATTAAAATTACCAAAATAAATATAATTAAAATTAAGTTATTTCTTCGTCGTGTTTATACATACGCGCATGGTTCGAAAAAATACTTTTCATGAAATATTTTAAACGTTTTTTTTTTTCAGCATGAACTGAAACTTCAAATTATAGAGCAACAGATAAAAGGTTTGTCCTTGCATTTTAATTTGAAAAAATAAGAGCTGATCCTTATACGAAAAAAAAAATTCTACTAGGTCATTCGACCATGAGTTGAAATCAAAACTAACTTATTATCGAGATACATGTAACAGTGTAGTTCACAAATCCTGTATCCGTTTGAAAAGAATTACATTTATTACCTTATATTGCACAAATTCATAAAATTGATTCCATTTAATGATAGAACGGTTGGATTTGACAAAACCGTAACATTATGCATAATTGGCATAAGGATTTTAACATATGTAATACTGATTACTCGTACAAAGCTACAAAGAGAAAGAAGAATTAAAAAAATGAAGCTACAAAGAGATTTTGAAATGAAAATGATATTTGAATAGACATATTTCAGGAAAGAAGTGTTTGAGGATTTGACACTATTACAAGTTTATATTATAGAGGTCATGCAAGAAACATTTTCTTTATAAAACGTCTTTATTTCTATACTTATAAACATCAATCAAAAGAACGTCAGATTTCTAAAAATAATATTGCTTGTAAAAGAATAATCAATAAATAATTATATTAATTTAATCTAACGAAAACATTCCGGAGTTTGCAGACTTTGTCTTTAAGTGGCTTGTAACTATAAGCAGAAACAGTGTTGTTGTTTTAAAGTTAAAACACACACGTGTTGGTCTGTCGAAATAATCTTGCAAATGTTTGGTCTAAAGATGTATTCTTCCCATTCATATACATGCCGAATTAATTAAAAATAGGATATGCATATACTCTGTTTAGCATTATTGAATATTATTTACATACATTTCCAATATTGATCGAGTTGTGTTTTTATTTACAGATAAAGAAAATGAGCTTCGGCTTATGCTAAATCTTAGATCTGCGGGAAAACAAAATAATCTTAAAGGTACTTCATGAAAAATAAATACTTAAAAACCTTTAAATGCACGGCTCTTATTTGGTAAGAATCAAAGATTTGTTAACATTGAAAGAAGACAAACCGAAAACATATTAAGAACATAATGTTATTTTATACATTCATTTGTTTAAGGACTAACACGATAATGTAACTAAAACGAGTTGAACTAGATATATTTGAAATATATCAATAATTCATAATCAAAGAACCATTTCTCTAAATTTTCCTTGTTGTTCTTGCATAAAACTGGGCACGTAGGTGTATATTAACGAAGACGGAAACATACTTTTACAGATATAATTACGCAAGCATGCACTTTGGTTTTAAAATGCATGACTCAGGGCGCCATGTATAACAGATATAAACGGGAAGGCATGACGAAACCTTTGTTACAGTTATATGGAAAGAAATAACGAAACGCAAATGTAACTTATTTAAGAATAACGCTAATATACAATGTGTACCTGCATTATATCTGCATATTTTAATCCATGTTAAACCGTGCATTAATTTTCTATTATGTTTTTTTTCAGAGGACTTCTTGCTTGATCTACAGATAAATGTTATTGCTAAAAATGGTGAAAAAAGTGCTGAAGGGAATCAACGAGTTTATGAAGTAATGAGAGAATATATTAAAGATAACGATATGACTGGTTTACCTTTTGATGAAAGATCAACTGATACACCAGTCTATCACCTCGTAGATTTCATTAAGGCAATAAAAAAATGCCGTATCGTTGATATTTCTATCACTGACCAATCGTCAACAGACATACACATCAACTGCCCCAGTTCGAACGTCATGGAAGATTTTCTCAAGTCTATCATCAGTAACGAATTTCAACAAGAACTGTTTGGCCTTAGACGATGGCTACAAGTGCAATATGACATTGAATCGTATGACATAATGGCTAATTGCTCATCAAATGGCATAGAGAAAGCAAAACAACGTCTGCGTAAGTTAAATATGAATAATAATGATTTATGATACCTTTTATATTTAACAGTGTTCTCTGCTCCTGTCGGTGCATTTGTAATCAGTGCATATTAATAGTATTAATTGATTTATCAAAATTAATTAAAAAATTGTTAGCTCTATATTGTTAAGATATCTAAGGATTATTGAAAAACGTAATACGTTGATAGTTTTTATTCTGTAATCACAAAAACATGTACATATATTTGAAAACGTAAAACTACTGTCTTCAGACTTTACTGAAGTAACCAGATCTTTGACTTGTGCCGAACATCAAAATACACAATGTACTCTCTATTGTCCTGACCATGACACGTTTTTATGTACAGCATGCAGAGAATCAAAACATGGGTAATTATACATTTCTTTAAATCAGTAGTTTATAGTGATTAATATAGAACAAAAAGTATCAAATTAAACAAACGAATTTTAAAATCGTGCAACAATGACCGACAAAATATACATAAACATTTACGTTTGATTATCTCTTAAAAATTTGTAAACAAATTAGAAGAATTTATAGTTTGGAAAAAGATAATCATTTGATACTTTAATTGACCCGACACTTTAATTGTTTCCCTCATTTTAGCATATTAAAATAATTTTAATTTATTTGGTAAGAAACAGGAACATGAGGAATTTTTGCACTTCGATTTTGAACAACATATTTCTTAGAGGTTAATACTTAGTTCCCTTGCTCGCCATTGTGCGATAATGGCCCGACGATGTTCATAATGACAAGAGGACCGCAGAACCTCGGTGTCCATTATCACCACACGGCGGGCAGGAAACAAATATTAACGTTTTTAAAACCTACGGAATACCGTTGATGTCATCGTGGTCAGCAGATTTAATGTACTGTACGTCATTCGAAAAAATGATGACCAGCTAAACGTATTGCACTATCGTATTATCGCCATCACATTATCGCAGTGTCGCAGTATCGGACCGTCGTCATCGCATTATCGCACCGTCGTATAACCACGTAGACCTTACGGTTTTCCATAAATACCTACATTTAAATATCGCCGCTTATCTTGGTTGTCGCAATTTCTAAGAAACGTACAGGTTGTCAATTTATACAAATATGTCTGTCATTCAGTTAACAAACTAGCAATTGATAGAAGGAAGGGGTGGAGACCTTTTGCATATATGCTTATAAAAAATTACGAAACTTACAGAATTATAGGTACAAACAATGTGTTCATACATTTGGTTATAATAGCAGCTGGTTTCTTTTTGTACACCAGTTTTTGTCAAATTCAACACATATTTCTGAGCGCTTTAAAAATGATTCAATATCAGAAATTAATCGAAATTAGGTGTGGAACTAGTTTATGTGCGTGAAGTTAGCCAGACAGCCGGAACAGCCGGAACATATTTTCGTTTAATCCGGTTGTTCCGGCTACTCCGGCTAGCCGGAATCCGGTTCTGGCTGAACAGGCTAGCTAGAAATGATACAGTAAAACCTGTGCAAAAGACCATTCATTTATTTCATGATGTACTGTAACCCAATTTATATTCGCGAATACAAATTTTCGCGTTTTTCCGAAGTCGGACATATTCGCGAATATTAATTTCCGCGTTTTCTTGATTTCCGAAAAAAGAAAATTCGCGGATTGGAAAGTCCGATAGGGCCGTAAAATCCATTAGCCGACTATTAATCTTCAATAATTGAGGTCACTATTGGTGGTTAAACGGGATTAACAATACGCTAGCCTTATATTGTATTGGTAAGTGAATTGTGATCTATATATGTACATGTACGCATCGTTCGTCTTCATTTCTAAACATGTCGTTAAAAGGTTGGTTGATAAAATATAAACCCTCAGAATGCAGGGGTGTTTTGGCATCGTTTTTGCCTGATCATGATCTGGAAAGCACACCAGAAAAGAAAAAAAAATGACTTAAGCGGCAAACTTATCTAGAAAAGTCTTTAGGAAATTCAATTTAAGCTTTTCATAAAAAAGATACCTTTTCCAATCAGGGATCGAACCCACGCCGAGAAAATTATGTTATATGAGTCCGCAATCTAACCAACTGAGCTATACAGGCTGTTCAGTTTGACGGGTAAATATCGATACTAGTATGAAACCATCTTGTATTTCACTGTTTGTAATTATGTACACCCGATACCCTTTTGTGATGCTCGATAGGTTTATACCACCTTTGTCTAAACAATTCACTCAAACAATTATTTATAGGATCCAAAAAACAATAGCCTTTTGTGATGCTCGATAGTTTTCCCACGCTTGTCAAACGATTTGTTCAAACATTTATTTTATAGGGTCCAAACAGGTCGAATGAGGATGCTTATTTTGATTGCTATATTGACATAGAGTTCTTTTGATATTTATAAAATAGTAGTAGTTTACTTAGTTTGTGTTTTTATTGCTTTATGGCAATATTCATAACAATTTATTACTTCCTAACAGGTGCTCGTAAAATTCGAATATATCCGGTCAAGTAGCTTTGCATGAACAACGTCTAAAATAAAAATTTCTCTCCAATTTATTCGCGAAATCGTGCGGACTTATTCGCGCAAACAAATATTCGCGCTTCGTGGCCATCCGCGAATAAAGCGAATATTAATTGGTCGCGAATATTCGTTGGGTTACAGTATATTCAAATTCCTAATCACATCGATATCTGGTTCCTCAGGCTAGCCAGAATAACCGATATCAAGTGTACTTCAGATGAAAAAAATCAGATATATTCCTAAAAAATGAGCGTCTTCCATGGTGTGTCCGGGTGTCCGCGGGTATAGGTGTGTCCGTCGGAAATACTCTGGTATTTTGCCGCCGGTGAGCCGAAAATCGTACTATACAGGTCACATCTGGCCAATTCCGGCTGGCCCCTGTGGGGACCAGACTCAATTCCGCAGAACCGCATATGGTGGGATGGTTAGGGGGTCTGACCGGGTGTCCGCGGGTATAGGTGTGTCCGTCGGGAATACTCTGGTATTTTGCCGACGGTGAGCCGAAAATCGTACTATACAGGTCATATCTGGCCAATTCCGGCTGGCCCCTGTGGGGACCAGACTCAATTCCGCAGAACCGCATATGGTGGGATGGTTAGGGGGTCTGACCGGGTGTCCGCGGGTATAGGTGTGTCCGTCGGGAATACTCTGGTATTTTGCCGACGGTGAGCCGAAAATCGTACTATACATGTCATATCTGGCCAATTCCGGCTGGCCCCTGTGGGGACCAAACTCAATTCCGCAGAACCGCATATGGTGGGATGGTTAGGGGGTTTGACCGGGTGTCCGCGGGTATAGGTGTGTCCGTCGGGAATACTCTGGTATTTTGCCGACGGTGAGCCGAAAATCGTACTATACAGGTCATATCTGGCCAATTCCGGCTGGCCCCTGTGGGGACCAGACTCAATTCCGCAGAACCGCATATGGTGGGATGGTTAGGGGGTCTGACCGGGTGTCCGCGGGTATAGGTGTGTCCGTCGGGAATACTCTGGTATTTTGCCGACGGTGAGCCGAAAATCGTACTATACAGGTCATATCTGGCCAATTCCGGCTGGCCCCTGTGGGGACCAGACTCAATTCCGCAGAACCGCATATGGTGGGATGGTTAGGGGGTCTGACCGGGTGTCCGCGGGTATAGGTGTGTCCGTCGGGAATACTCTGGTATCCTGCCTCCTTATATACTAATATTTTTTCATTACTGTTATGTTTCTTCCTTTTATCATTTTTGTTTAATTGTGAAAATTTGACCTTGATTAAATAGAAATTTCCTTAAACAGGAGGTAACGACATATTGGAAATAATATTATTATGATGAGTTTTCCCGCGTTTTTTTCCAATCATTTGAAACGCGATTCTAAGCACCGAAACTTGAAATATATCACATTTCGATATTTAGAAGCTTAACTTTCTAATATAATGTCAAATGTGATTTTTATTTGTAAATTTGACCCTGGCCAGTTCGAAACTAATACTCTAAAACTAAATTAAAACTGAATTACAAATGGTGATAATATTTAAAGGGAGACGACTCTGTCAATTAGATACATCAAAGCTGAGCATTACGCGGTTGTTCATGGTTGAATAGAGCATTCATCATGCCCATACATTAACGATGAATCAAATAGAACAATGTTTGATGAAACCAGGCAACTCTCTAGAATATTTTCATATTTATATTGTCCCTGTTCAAACTGCCGTGCTATCCGAAGCAAAGTCTACTTCATACAGTAGACTCTCTGTTCTTAAGACCATCCCGGAATTAAGACCATTCCGCTATTAGACCATTTAATAAAAGAACGGTATTTTCTGTTCTTTATGTCAATGGTTACATGATTTATAATTAAGACCACCCTGCTTATCCACTTTAAAAACCACCAGATTCAGTCCCAAAACCCTTATTTTAATCTTTTTTAAACCCACTACTGATGTTAAACTCAACACCTACCTGTAATACATCAAAATTTGTTGTTATTTTCTGTTTGAATGCTCTTTGGCATGACGATGTTAAAAACTGTTACTGGATTATTATATGAAATAAGGTAAGAAAGTAAATGTTTTGCGTCACTGTGGTTTAATTTTGCTTTCGGCACAATTATATGTGTAAAGAATTCATTTCTTAAATGATAGTTGAATTATACACATCATACTATAATTAATATTTCAATCAGACCAAATTATACAGTAGATTCTCTAC